TACATATACATACATAATTCGAAGGTCCAGTAGAAGCATTTGGATAGACTGATCTAAGTTTAGAACTTTGGCATTGAAATTTTGAAAAAGATTTAACGTTTAGTGTGGGAATCTACCAATCCAAAATGAATCTAAGGTGTAAGAGTGTAGAAATCGCTTGGCTTGTGGGGTTTTATTCAGTGAATTCAGCAGCTGCTTGTTTAGTTACCAAGTAGTGATATACGGTTTGATTCATTAACATGTTCCCTTTAATATGTATTCAAGATTTTTTCTAGTTTTTTGGCCACTATACTTATTGGTCAAGCCATATTTTCTTATTTGTTCACATTTTTCAAGTACTTGACACTGATTTTGTTGATTTATTTTTGCTGATATGACTCCTGTTTTGCATGTCCCCTAAGTGTCACAACCAAGAATTGTAACCAGGAATTGCAGGTTATAAAGCAACATAGTTTACCTATAGTATGGCAAAGGTCATTCTTACTACTCATTTTCTGTTTTGTGTTGATTTTCTCTCCTCTCTCTTTAGGCGGTTTGGCTTTGACTGAACAAAAAATCAAAGTGCGACAAGGTATTCATTTAAACAAATGCACCATTATGTGCAACCCGCTTGAAATTTTTATCTATGCTAACAATATTTTAGTGAATAATAATCCTGTTTATGTGGATAATGATATGAAAAATCCTCTGACCTTTGTGGGGCAGGATACATGCTTTTTGCGTAAGATTATGAAGAACTTTAAGCTTCTTTATGTATTCTACTCAACATGATAATAAGCGACACCTTCATTGGAAATGATGTCCCTGAAGAAAATTAGTACAAAATGAACACAATCACAGCAAACCAATTTCTGAGTCTTCCATCCATTAGAGTCATAATATACAATGAAACAAACCACACTTTAAGGGTAGAGTTTTGACCTGCAGAGCCACGTCATTCATTACCCAATTTATTGGTATGAATATTGTTTATGATAAAAACAGAGTCTCATTTATCAAATAACAGAGAATTCAATAAAAGCATCAACGCACAAACATCTGTCCACATTCATCATCACGTGCCCATATCATCTCCAAAGGTACCTGCATTAATCAAGCAAGGAAAATTAAAATAATATTGAGATTATATATGTTTATCTTCTACGTATATCCATGTTATCACATATAAATTATTTTGTAGTCAACGCATAAAAAATTATGTTTTTTATGATTCTTTTTTTTTTTGTGAATATTTTATTTATGATTCTATTTTGTAAATATATATCACTTTTAGTGGGAAAATTGGGTTAAAATAGTTGGGGGTCTTCTTTTTTTTCCTTAGATATGCCAGCTGTTTCTTTTCTTCTTAATCACAGTCAATCTTGTTAAAATAAGCAAAAGTCATTCACTAAATCAACCGATACAATAGAGAGGGAATGTCGGCAAACAAATGAAAATTGACATGCATAAATTTTTTTTTTTTTTAAAAAACACACACGCGCGAAGATGATATGGATCCTCTGTTTCATACCTTAATTAATATATGTAGCAGTTGTTGATATTATTATAGTAATTACTATTGGAAAAAATATTAAAATAAATTTTAACAAGCAACTGTGTTTTTTAGTGATAGGAAAGCACAGACGAATGTAGCAAAAAAGATGCAAATAATTTAAAAAAAGAAAAATTGGCGTATAGGGCCAAAAATAGATGCAATTTTTTTTTTAATGCTTCGTCCCTTCATATATGAGGCTTTTATCGATATCATAATAACTACTAGAGGAAATCATATACAAGAAGCAGGAAAAATCATAAAACTAACGAACCTGAAAATGATAATAAGGATGATGGACTTATCCTTCTATCAATTAACGCTATCCTGCAATACCAAGTCATACTATTAGTTTGTCTGGAAAAAAAAAGAAGTAATTTTATCACTGAAAAAAAAAAGGAAATATAACGGGCATAAGTACGATATAATCAATTTTCTATTTGCGCTTAGTCATTAACTATACATGTTTGAAAACAATAGTTGTTGGTGTGTATATATCACACCTCTGCTGAGGATAGCATTTCTATTGTTTTGTTGAGGATCCTGCCATTCCATGTTACGTCCTTGTATTTTCACTTTAGATAACTTTGGTGTTTTCAACACTCCTGGACCAAGCTTCTTCATCTGAGGGCATCCGGTTATTTTTATCTTTTCTAATTCTGGGAATTCAAAGGTGAGACTTTGTGAAGAAAACACCTTCAAGCTTGGCATATCAGTAAGTACAATCATCTGCAACTGGTTGAATGTGATTCCACCTTCTACATCTTCATTGGTCTCCTTCATTACAATTTCCTCCATCTTTTTGCAATCATTTATGGCCAACCGTTCAAGACTCACCAAGCTTTTGGCAGTTGAACTTGTCACTAAATGGATGAGCTGATGACATCCAGATACGGATAAGCTTCTCAATTTTTCAAACGAAGCAGAGGATGGTGCCAACTTGACCAAGTTACTACAACTTTCGACACTGAGGGATATTAGATTTTGATGAATTGGTAGTAGATGAGAATCATCCTTCCATATACTCTTGAGCTTATCCAAATATGAAAGGAATAATCCCCTGAATGGAGGGATTTTTCCCATAAAATCAATAATCTGATCCTGTGAGGGGAACATCCCCTCAAAGGAACTGTGCTGCACATGAAGCCCAACCAACTTGGGAAATCTTTCGAGGGATCTATAGGGAAAGAGTACTCCTTCATCTTGGATGCTTTCTACATAAAGACTTCTCACTTCAGGAAAGACATCGCTTATCATTGTGATATTCTCCGCATTTAGCACCATGCATTGGGTTATGGAAGTAACCTATAAAATGAAAATTAATAAAACAATTACCATAATTAGTATGCTATTTACTAAATTAAATCAAGATATTGTTTTCGACTAATATTTATATTCTTCATCATTTTCCTCAAAAATCACATCCATACATCAAAATCAGAAAAAATTTTAGATTAATTTTCTTGCACGCTTTTTGCCTCCAAATTAATTTTTTTTTTAAAAAAATATCAGTGCCTTCGAATTCTCATTTTGCTCTAGGCTTTTGACAGTGAACATTATATATAAAACGATTATTGATAAAATTACTACTGTAAGACGGTAGTGTAATAAATTAGGTCAAGATATTTTTTAAAATACTAATTTTGCGTTTTTATTGTATATAAAGTCTTTCTTAAACAATCGGTCAATTTTTTCTAATATTTATATTAAGGCTTGTTGTTGTTGATTTTCCCTCTAAAATCACATCCATATTTTAAAATAAAAAAAATTTCTTTGAATCCTTTTACAGCTCCCTTTCTTTCTAGTACAAAAGCACCAAACTTGCAACACTATCTGGAGTCTGCCACATTCATTTATCATCATTTGCGTGCAATTAGAATCTTGTAACATGAAGAGTTTATAATTTATGGGAGACGACAGAGCAGCTTCAATCTTTGTATTAAATAGTTACCTCATCCTAAATTTTGTAGATGATGAGGAATTAGTTAAAAAGTAGAAAATAAGAATGCCAAAATGTTAGACGTACCTCCTGAGTCATAAACCGATGTTGGATGGTGTTGTTAAGATTGGTCATCCAAATATGTTCATGATGATCATTTTTGTGTCTACTTACTTGAATGCTTTGAAGATGCGGGGCATGAATGGCTCCTGAACAGAACATTGTGAGTCGAGGACACTCTGCTATAGTTACACATTCTAACAATGGAAATCTAAAAGTGTAACTGTGGCCACAAAATCTCTTCAATCCTTGTAAATGTTCAAGTTCCAAAAGCTTCAGTTTGCTGAAAACGATTTCCTTGCGCTCATCATCCTCTCCTTCCTGTTTCATTACAATTTCTTCCATCTTATAGCAGTACCTTATCCTCAGTGTTTTAAGATTGATCAAGCTTTTTGCAGTTGAATTTGTCATTAAATGAATGAGCTGATAACATCCGGACACCTCCAGCACCGTCAAATTGCCAAGGCAGAGTTCCCTGAATGGGGGAATTTGATCGGTAATGTGTGAATGTGATGGGAATATCTCCTCAAAGGAACTATCCTCCACATGAAGTTCGTTCAGCTTCAGAAATCTTCCAAGCAATGTATACGGAAATGTTACCCCTTTATCACGAAATCCTTCTATGCGAAGAATTTCCACGTGAGAAAAATGGTCCGCTGGAAATTGGTCATTCCTTATCATGCTAACATCATCCTCATCTAACACCATCTCTCTTGTAGCGACAAATCTCTGTAAAACAATAATTTATTTTTTATTGACTCCCAAGTCAAATACGCCCACTAGCTAGAAGAAAGAAAACCATGAATAATCTTGTTGCCCATTGTCTTCCTAATCAAACAAGTGTCAAACATTTTGAGTTCATTAATTTTTAAAATTAATCTTGGAAACAAATAACGTATCAACTACGACACAAAAGAACAATAATATTAAAACATTCTGCTATGTATCCCGTTAATTAATTACGATGAAATTGTTTGTGGTGTTTAATTTGTAATTAAAGTGATGTAATAAGATTATACTTACAAGTTTAGTAGAATCTTTAATTACACCAAAATATGTACAGGGAGATTTATATTAAATATCATAAACATGGAAATTTATATATGAGTACTTTGTTAAAATCTGGAAATAGAAGGAATTAAGCATGCTAGACGCACCTGTTGGTGGATTGTTTTGTTAAGGTTGGTGTCCCAAATTTCATGACGTCTTCCCCAATCGTGTGACAACTGAATGCTTTGAAGAGATGGTGTATCAATGAGTCCTAGAGAGAATATTTCCAATTTTCGACATCTTTCTATGATTAGAGTATCCAATAATGGAAACCTGAAAGTATAATTATGGCCGCAAAATCTCTTCAGTCTTGGTAGGTCACAAAGTTGCAAGTACTGCAATTTGTTGAAAAAGATTTCCTTATCCTCATCACCCTCTCCTTCGTGCTTCGATATGATTTCCCCTATTTGATTGCAGTGACTAATTGAGAGATGTGTTAGATGGACCAAGATTCGAGCAGTTGATGACGTCATCAAAGTGGTCAACCCATAAGAATATCTCACCGTAAGATGTGAGATTTGGTAAAGAAACTAAGGATGATGCCACGCTTTTCATCTCGTAAAGATTCTGAAGAGTCAATTTTATTGGAAAGGGAACTTCGTCCCCTCCAAAAGCCTCCTTAATGTCACCACCCAACTCTAACTCCTCTAATTTTGGAAAGCTCTTCAACAATGATTTGTACGATATAGTTGGGGCTTTCTCTACAGATAGATGAAGCAGTTTTACTTTGGGGAAGTGGTAGTTCATTGGAAAGTGGCCACTCCCTATCATCTTAGCTCCTTTACCCCTCAATCTCAACTCCTCCAAATTACGAATATCCTGCACAATACATAAATAGTAACTAACTGTACCAATTAATTAATACGTCAACAGCCATATGCAATTTTCATGAGGGTGTCTGGTCTTCAGATTAAAATTTGATGCATCCACAATTTTGACATACATATATTTCGTGCACTTCAAATATCAATTATGACAAATTAAAATGAACATAAATTTTTGGTCTAGAATTTAATCTTTGCAATCTTGTGACACATAAACATTACACCTCCCTTCTTTTTTAAAAAAATAAATAAATAAATTAACGCTTATAATGTCCAGAAAAAAGAAAAAAGAAGGAAAAAAAGAAAGAAACCCAGTCCCTTCCCTTGATTCAACAACAGACCTTTTTACGTGTAGATAGAAGCTGAGGATTGGAGCCCCTTTTAGAAAAAATAGAAAATTATTTATAAAATCTATTAATTAAAATAATTATTATGAAATAATTATTATGAATAATTCACATATTATTCTCAAAAATATCAAATTCAAGTGCTTTTAGGTTGTAAAACAAAATAATTTAATGTTTCATTATTTATTTTAATGCTTCAAGTTATGTTTGCTTTTTTATTAGCTTATTTTAAAATAAATAACACATTCATAGCTAATTGAGAATGTACCTTGTCATGGGATAGTAGAGGATATTTTGAGTCTAATGTGCTCTCCTCCTCATGTATTTCTAGTGAACTTGAGACTTCCTTTTCAAATATCTCTAATTCATCACAATATGTAATACATAATCGTCGAAGTTGTGGCCATTCTAATGTGTGTCTCCGCGGATAGAAGTTCTTCAAATTTTGAAGCGAAGAAAGCTTAAGGGAAGTCAGCCTAGGAAACTCAAAAGTAGAAGCAACAGATTTTGAAACTTGGTCTTTTGCAACAATTACATCTATACCACAATTACATATTAGAAGCTCTTCAAGATCACGAAGCATGCCTTTGGCTATGGATGGAGGAAACAGACTTGTGAGACTTTCACAAGAGGAAACATGTATGCTCTTTAGACTTGGGAAGGAGACATTTCCTTGGTAGTGATTGCTCCACACATTCTTCAATTTTGGCAACCCATATAGCTCTAACTTCTTCAATGACACAACCTGGATTGATGATGACACTGTCTCTTTATATTCGTTCAAATCTTCAAAATCAAGCACCATCTCCAACATGTCACAATTCTTGACTTCCAGTTCTTCCAAATTGTACAAAGATTTTAGCACACAAAGGGGCACTAATTTCACAAAGCCACAGTTTTTCACAATCAATGTTTTCAAATTGCTAAAAGAGGTGTGTGAAAGTTGGCCGTCCCGTATCATTGGAATCAAATTGATTGAATTGGACAATTCCAACCTCTCTAATTTTGGAAGTAACACCTGTTGAAAGAAAATATGATTAAACACAAATAACTTATAATCCATAGGCATTCTTCTCATGAAAGATTGTTTAAATGTCTAAATAAAAATCTCACCTACCACAATACTTTTCAAGCCATTGCTCAAAGTTCAATTTGAAATTTCATGGTCACAAAATAAAAAATTAAGTAATTAAAAAAGTGAAACAACTACAAAATGCTATTGTAACTAGCCTAATGCCAAATTAACTAATTGCAGTGAATGTAATTTTTGTAGATTTCGTTAGAAAAAATAAGAAAAACAATCCGGCAAAATGCCAGCAAAGCAGATAATTGTAGCGAAAATGATTTTTTTTTACGGGTAATTAAGTTTGAAGTTTTGTCGGAAAGTTAAAACAAGAAAAAGTAACTAAACTAATATTAATATAACCTATTGCTGAAAAGGGATTGGAAAACCATGAGCTAGATTCTCATAAATATTTTTTTGAGTAATGAACAGCACAAGCGTCTAGCATCCCCGTCCAACAAGGTCGTTATTTACAGCATCTTAAATACTCATAAATACGCTTTAGTAACAGGAACAATTCATATATTAAAATACTCCAAAATATCAAGTTGACATGTTTTTAGGATGTAAAATGAATAATTTGAGGCTTCATTATTTATTTTAAGACTTAAAGTTATTAGCTTTTCTTACTATTAGCTGATTTTAAGTCATTTAAAAAATAAACAGCTGCAAACTTCCATAATTACCTAATAGTAGAGCAAGTAATTCTAGTGAAAATGATTTTCGCATATAATTTTGAAGTTTTGTAAGAAGATAAAATAAGAAAAAGATTGTGAAAAAAATAATCTGCACATACATTGTTGAAAAGTAACTCAGACATTTTGCCGGATATGTTATTTGTTGCAGCTTCAAGATGTGCTGAGTTCAAAACAATGTATCTAATAGTATCATTACTTTCAATATGAAGATGCCTTAAATGTGGAAATGCTCTTCCACCATGACCGTGAAGAACATTTTCAAGCCCATTAGATCCATATAAATACAAATCTTCAGCTCCTGTTATCAACTTTCGTACCCCAGGCTTCAAATGGATGCTACCCTCTAGATCAAGTTTCAACATCTTTGAAGTTTCATGATTGCCTTGCCATTTCCAAAGCCCTCCAATGAATATTCTATATCTCTTCAAATTCAAATCTAAGAACAAAGTCTCCGGCAACATAGAGACATTAGGAATATGAATATCGAGAGAAGAGATGGGCAAATCCTTTAACTCATCAAGACTTGCATTTTCATTAGCTTCACTAGATCCTTCAATTTTCCATTGGTTAAAGCTGTTTCCCATGTGCAACACTTCCAATTTTTTCAAGCTAGATAGAAGTTTCGGGGGAATTACTTTGAGCTTGGAGCAATGGGCCAAATTCAACATTTGCAAAGAAGTCAACTCTGCTAATTGAATTGGTAGCAATTCAATTTCAGAGTAAGCAAAACTTAGGACTTTTAAATTCTTCAAGCTTCTAACCTCACTTATATCTTCTAACAAACACGAGTGTAGACACAACGTTTTTAGTTTTATTAAAAAACTAAGTGATGGTAGTGACAAAAAATGCACATTGCTAAATGCCAATAGTTTCAGCTCCTTTGAAGATTTGAAAAACATGTTGGGTATGGTCAAATCCCTTTCTGTGCTATCGAGTAGAAAGAATTCTAATTTTGGACAGTACAACTCTTCTGGAAGGTCACTGATTTCACTCCGTCGTAAGCAAATTCCTTTATAGCCTTCTTGCATATTTTTGTCTGGCCATTCTGTCAACTTTCTATGCCTCACAATGAATGCATGTAATTCATCAGATGCAATCGATAATGCAATGTCCCGAAAGATGTCATGTATCGTAAAACGATGATTAGAAAAGCTATCAAGAAATAAGTTTGATGATTTTAGCTTACTTACAATAGCAGAGATTCCATTGTGGGCTTCCTCCATGTTTTCTGCGTGTTTCAGAAAATCTAACCCCATAGAGTGCATGAGAAGGACTTCGATTGAGGGATCATGGGACAACATGGCACCAAGCAAGAAAATATGCTTGTTCTCTGATGAGCTTAGACGATCATAGCTCGATATCAAAATGGTATCTACCTCTCTAATTCCTGTGATGTTTCTCCTTAAAGGATTATTCAATCGAGCAAGGTAATCTTTCCAGTCATCTAGATTTTTTCCTAGCAATTCTTTGGCAGCTGTAGCAATCGCTAGTGGCAAGCCTTTACACTTTTGAACAATCGCATTGGCTATAGATATCAGGTCAGGACTACTTGAGTCAACGGACAGTTCGGCAATCCTCTTGAACAACTCCCATGCTTCATCCTCTGACAAAAAACCCACTCTGATAGTTTTTTGACATTTCATGCGGTTTGACAGCAGCGTTTCGTTCCTTGAAGTTAGTAAAATTTTGCAGCCTTCATTCTTTTTGTTATAATTCTCAACATCAAAAAAGGGAATTCCAACTTTGCCCAAATCAAGTCCCTCCCAAAGATCATCCAATATTAGGAGCATGTTCTTCTCTTGCTTCAACCTCTTACACAGACGACAAGCTCTTACTTCTTCAAATGTTTCATTGAGTTGCATACCCAATTTCACAGCAATCTGGCCTTGAATCTTCTCAACATTCAGTTCTTGAGAAACAATTGCCAAGATCACCTTTTCAAACATGTTTTGACTTTTTGCTACCTCTTTAGCTATAGTGGTCTTGCCAACACCACCAAGCCCACACAATCCAATCATATTAACACTTGGATTCCGTAATTCCTCTATAATTTGATTCACAATGTGCACTCTTGAACCAATCCCTGCATTGCTTTCTCTGTTGAATAATTCCGGCATGGACGGTGGAGGAACGCGATATGAAACTGTATTGAAGTTTCCCTTTCCACAAATTTCAACAACTTCTTGTGCCATTGCCTTTGCTCTTTTGCTTAGTTTATAGCGTAGCCACGGGTTGGGACATGAAATTACGCTACACTCTGTTTTTGCTTGACTCTCTTCTTCATGAAACTTTTGAATTTGTTCTGAAATCTCATCTACTTTGCGCAACCAATGAAGAACTTTGTCTTCAATTGGTTCTGCATTGTTTGTAGCCTCATCTATTTGATGTTTTATGGAGCTTCTTTCATCGATGAGTTCCACAAGTCGTTCATTGAGCTGCTTAATATTTTTGTGATAGTGAAACAGATGATGAAACTGCTCGCAAGTTGGGTCCAGCACTAGGTCCCAGAACTTGTCAACAAAACTGCTCACTGATCCGCAAGTAATATCCATTTAATTTGTGCTCTGTTAAAAAGATGTAGCCAAAACTCAATTAGTCTTGTGTTGTTCATGCAGAAGTATTGGCATAAATATGTATATTTTGAACTAAAAATAACCAATAACCAATATGAAATTTTGCAATCTGGATGTATATAAACCTTCGATATACCAACAGTAAGAAGCTTTCCTGGTGTTCCAAAACAGAAAGTAACAAGTTAAGAAATCAAGAAACACAGAAGAAGTAAAGAATGCTGTGAAATTATGAAAGAAAGTGAGACAACGAGAGCAAATGAAAATAAAGCAGATATTAATACAAAGTGCCAATAAAAGGAGTAATAAGTTCAGTAAAGGCATTTTTCCAAAGATCGATTTGAAGCACAAGACAGTGGCCAGAAGCTCGAGGGTTTAAACACAAGCATATCAGTAACCCACTTCCACCAGGTTGCCCCAAAGACTAGGGGTCGGGACTTCATTGTTTTTCATTGTTATTCCCTTCGTTAAGCTCTGTTTTTTTTTTTTTTTTTATAAGAGAAACATAGAAAAGAATAAATAAAATCACAAATTGTTGCTTTGCTAGGATCTTTTTAAGATAATGCGCATGGATTAAAAAGATGAGGTGAGTTGGTTACATGCAAAGAAATGTGCGCTAATTAACTTTCTTAAAATATAATTTATTTTAATTTTTTATATTTAAAAAAATTATAACATAGCTTATATCTCGTATGATAATTGCATATAAAATTATTTTAAGATACAGTAGAAAAAAATACTCTAGACGTTGATTGCAACTTATGTTTAAGTGATCGTACTTTTTACTCGGTACTTTAGGGGGAAAATTGGGCTAAAAGGTTGGAGGAACCGATCCATTTTCTCATATCAAAGTGTCAGGGAAGAAAAATGAGAAATCCAAAAGTGTCATTAGCTGCTCTTTTTAGCTAACACTATATATTTTGTAAAACATCATCGCAATTTTAGAAGCATATGAAATTATTGGCAGTAAAAAAAAAAAACGACAGAATGGTATATGAAATTTTTTAAAATATCAAAGTCTTATATATTATCTACATGTAAGCATTAAACTCCGCTTTTCGTTGGCCAAAAAAAGCTAAAAAAAACGCTTTTCTTGATAAATTCATAAGTATTACAAGAGTGTCACATAATCTATGCTCTGACTAATTAATATCTTCCAAATCACATGACGGGAAGGGATATTCATTTGTCCTGTCCCGAACTCAACCCGACAAGTTTGGAACAAGACGGGACCGGACAAGTACGAGACAAGACGGGATAATAACCAGGATAGTATAGGACGTGGAACAGGATAGTCCCATCCCATCCTATCCTGGGATTTTTTTTAAAAAAAATATTTATTAATAATTATTATTATATTATTCAATTTATTTATTAATAATAATTATTTATAGTGACTTTTAGCTTTTAAATTGTAGTATTATCTCAACAAAATCTCCTTCCTTAATAAAATAATTCATAAAGTTATTATATAGTGTTTTTTTACAGTATTTTTTTTACAGTATTATTTTTATACTTTTTTTGTACTATATAATTGGGTTTTCTACATCATATTTTTTTATAATATTTTTTTAGAAGCCTAATAAAAGTTAAACATTATAATATAAAAAAATTCATATAAAAATTTAGAATATTTTTTTTTTTAAAAAAAGAAAAAGCACGATGTCTCGGTCCCATCCCAGTTTTATCCTGATCTTGTCAAAATCGGAACAATACGGGATACAGAACACAAGACGGCCTGTCCCATGAACACCTCTTGGGACCTATACTTATTGCAAGCATTTATGTATTCTTTTTACTTTTGCACACGCGCTCCCTCCCCTCTCTTAACTCTCTTTTTCTTTTTGATTTAATTTTCTCTTTCTTCATGATCAAACTCCCCCTATTGTAAGTTTATGACTTTTTAAGTTTTATCTCTCTATTTTAATTTCTCATAATCTCGCCCTCCCTCTTCATTTTTAATTTTATTTATTCTCATTTAAATAATATTACTGCATTTTAAGCTTTAACTGGAGTTAGAAAATAGCATTAATAAAGACATTGAAATGCCGAAGGTTTACATTTTAAACCAAAAATAAGAAAAAATGAAATACTTTTATAAACATAAGCTATCATTAGTAAATATCACTGAAGCTGCAAAAAAGGTTTGAAAATTCACTTTTTTGTTCAAGATGGATTTTTTTTCTTAGAACATTAATACACCAGCGATCTCATAAAAAATGAAGAAAAATAAAAAGAAATTTATAAACACAAGTTATTATTAGCAAAGGCATGTCATTGAAGTTAAAAAAGTCCTAACCGGATATTTTATTTAGTTTGATTCTCTTTATCAAAATCTGCTCAAGATTTTGACATGTCTTTTTTGGTCGAATAATTTTCACATGTCAACATAAAATAAATCATCAAAAAGAAGGGAATTTTAAAATCTGAGAAAGAATTCAAGGGTTAGGTTATAAAATATAAATTAACATATCCATCAGAGTTTAAAATTTAAATATTTATATATTTTTTGTAGAAAATTTTTATATAATTATTTTAGTATTTTTTATTTGGAAATTCAAAACATGAACATAAAGTCTAAAATAGGGGAGGAAGAAGTGTTATTATTTAAATGAGAGAGTAAATAAAATTAAAAATGAAGAGAGAGTGAGTGAGGGTATACAACATGTAGAAATATTAGAGAAATAAAACAAATTTAAAATGAGTGGAGGAAGTTTCGGGAAAGAGAGAGACAATTAAATTAAAAAGAAAGAGGGGGAGTTGAGAGAAGAGAGGAGAGAGAGAGATTTTGCACAAGTAAAGTCTGCGACAAGTTACGTGTCGCTCTCTGAGAACTTGAAAATTTCTGAAACTTTTAATCTCTGAACTTCCCCTGTAGTATCATACCCTAAAGTTCTCTTTTTCAAAATTTAAATTTTAAATTCTCTTTCTCATTTATTCATAATTTCATCAACAAGTTTCATCAGAATTTCATGAAATCCATTTTACACTCTCAATTCATGTATAACATTTCAAGGATTTTGTTGAAACTGTTAAAAAAAATCCTGATTTAAGTACGAGATGATGTATTTATAACTTGCAATTAATATATTGTTTTTTTAAGACCAATTTATTAAGCGAACACGAAACAAACTTACGAATGTATTAAAGGAAAGATAAAATGTAATGAGGTCCCATTTATTTTTTTTAGTTTTTTGGTAAGAACGTCCCATTTATTTTACATTTAGGAAGAATTCTTTTTATTTTTAAACAATTTATAAACTTATAGAATTAAAATTTGTGCAAAACAAACCATCTTTATATTTTTAAGATTATATTTTCGCACACCACAATATTAATTACACATTTTGGACCAAAATATTTCTCTTTAATGAAAACGTTTGAATTTATATGGAAATATTTTTAATGGTGTTAAAAATGGAACCAAGAGGTAAAAAGATACTTTTTATGAAAAATTAATTATTTAGTTCTAATGTATATTTTTAGTCTTTTAACTTTACATAATTTTTTATTTTGGTTTTTGAGCTTTAAAAAATAAACTTCTAATCCTCTAACCTTGAAATTAGTAGATGATATTCAACTATTGAATATTGATAAAATATTATTAAATGATAATATATTAAGTTAAATTTTCAAGACCATTATGACTGTTAAAAAAATCATCATTTAAAATCAACAATTTTAGGATTAAAAGACTAAAAGTAAACATTTTAAGTCAAAGAACCAAATTGAAACTTTACATAAAATTAAAGGATTAAATACATACTTTAGCTTATATATACATATATATATATATATTTAGAACGAAAGCCTTATATATATATATATATATATATATATATATTTGGTTAGAAAACCCCTTATATTTTACTTAAAAAAAACACACACACAAGAGAGTATCTTCAAAACCAATAGACATCATGTAAAGCTAAGGGAGTCACACCTATATTTAAATGAGAACTTTGAAAAAGAAAATTCAAATATTCAAGTGAGGGAGCCAGACCTTAGGTATCTTTACTATGGCTAGAACACGTTTCTCTTCTTCTTCTTGCTGCTGCTCCCTGTATTCAGAAACACATAAATATACTGCAAAAGTTGAAATACAAGTAAATACAAATAAATTAAACAGAGATTGACTTTGGCATAAATCCATATTTTCAAACTTACGGTAGTGGGCGATGTGAAACTTTGCAATTCAAGCTATATAATCCTTAGATCTCCCAACAGTAATCAGCTTTCCTCAATGTTCCAATATGGAGATCAAGCATGAGAGACCTCTCTTTTTTTTTTTCTTTTTTAAATGGTGTTTTGGACAACTTTAAGAAACTAATGCTTCACAAAATCCAAGACAATTATAAAATCTTAAAGTTTTCAAAAAAAGATGATGAATTTGTGAAATCAAACAGGAAAAACAACATCAACTAAGCAATAAAAATACAAGAAAAACGTCAAACTCACCAAAAATAAAATCATCCGGAATAGCGATTTTTTTTTTTAAGAGATATGAGCCATCACAAATTGAAAGAGCACTTTTTTAAAAAATTATTTTTGGGATTTTTTCTTCTTGAAGAAAGATCACAAAACCAGCAAAATAAAGTTAAAAATGATCACAATAGCAGAGAATTGAAGTGCCAGCACAAACAATGCAAAAAAGCAGGAAATTCAGGACTTTTTTTTTTCTTTTTCCGAGAAAAGACAAAGGAAAAAAGGGATCAGAAAGCCGAATATATAACACAAATGAAACTACAGAGAAGATGAAGTGAAAGAAGAAGTTGGGAAGCAGTAGAAATTAGCACAGGAAAGAAAGTAGGATATATGTGAAACTATGGAGGAGAAGAAAACGAAAAAGCAGATCAGAAGCTTTAGTTGGGAGGAGTGGCTGCAAAGTCACTGGTTTAGATAGGATTCAAGTCTATGTAATTGGATCAATGCTGTGGGGTTTCCATTATTGGGATGATGCATGACAATTTATGTCCTTATACAACAAGTTAATATGGCTGCTCAAATTTTCAAACTCCTCGTGTGTTTAGATTCCTCATATTTAGTACTTTTTGTTTTAAAAAAATCCCATTTTAACATTAACTTTTTATGAACTATTGCCGTTCTATATGGTGACCTCTTGATGTACTTATCAAGGGGAAAAAAATAACTCACCAAAAAACAAAAAAACTTGAGGCCCTACTTTGTTGTACGGTTTCTAAGCAACTTTAGACCCCCATGAGGGAATTGCAGATATTTTTAAGTATGAAGGACCACAATGAGCCATGTGTTAATAATAATAATAATAATAATAATAATAATAATAATAATAATAATATTCTCATTGATCCAATTAGCTGTGCGGGGGGCCAACTTTGAATTTCGCCAAAGAGAATTATTGAAGTGGGCCAAAATTACAATATATTGATTGAAAAAAGGAGCACGATGTTGATCACGACCCTTCGTTTCACTGTCATCCCATCATCACGTAATTATATATGAATTCATTTGGTCGTAGATTTTTATTTATTGGGCCCCCCACCAAGTAATTAATGATATCAACATATGCTAACCCAAGTTTATGGCGACAAATATGGGTTGACAAAAGTGTGTATTTAGTCTTTTAATCTTAAAATTTTGAGTAAAATACATTAACTATCTTTCTATTCTACTTAAATTATAGAAACCTCCCTTCTATTTTGAAAGCACATATAAACTTCCCTTCAAATTAAAATATATGTTACATAAATCTTCCTTATATTTTTAAAATTCAATTTCCATCCATCCAATTGTTAGTTGATCGTTAAATTTTTATTTTGACTAAAATATCCCTTTTTAACATAAATATTATTTAAACATTTATATTTATAAAAAAAATTTTGATACAACAAAAAATAGTTATAATACATTTATTTTCAAAATTTTTAATGTTATAAAATTTTTAATTCCAATTAGATTATAAAATTATATAATTTTAGTTTCTCATGAAATATTCAAACTCAAGATTTTTTTTTAAATGGTAGAAAATATTTTGAATGCTTATTTTCTTATCACATAATATAAATTATACAAGTTTGGAAACTTATACAAATCATTTGAATTTATGTTTGTATTAAGTATACGATAAAAACATTAAACAAACAACAATTTTTAAAAATAAAAAAATAAAATTAAGGTAAAGGAGAAAATCTTAAATTCTTTGATATAGTTTTAATCAAGATCTTGGGATTTAGTATTATGAAGGGTAATTTATTAAATAGAAAGTATTTCAAGATAAATTTGAATTAAAAAAATATTTTTGAAATATTCTTAACAGAGTTAATAGTTTGGATTTGAATGTATGTTTTCAAAATAGAAAGGAAGTATGTGTAATTAAGACAAAATACAAAGGAGGTTAGAGTATTTTACTCTTAAATTTTTAGGCTTACATGATGTGTTTCATTAACAATCATGGTTGTTTTAAAAATCAAACTTAATACAATATTTAAGATTATTTTAATTGTTATTATTTTACGTTAACAATTTTAGAATTAAAAGACTAAAAGCATACTTTTTAAAGTTGAGAGATCATACTTAAATTTATATAAAGTTGAAGGATTAACAACATACTTTTACCTACTAATGATTTTCTTATAAGATTATTTTTTTTAATAATTCTGAAATATTAAATATTATTAAGATTGAATATATTTTTATTCTGAAGCCACTTTTACCTCAAAGACTCTAGAGCTTGAGGTTAAGACTTCATCCTTTTTTATTGTCATTCTCTCCATTCAGTTTGGCTTTTCTGAGAGAAGATAGTAAAGAATAGCGCGTGGACTATGGAGTCTGAAAGTGACAAAAGTAGTGTGTGGGTTAGCCAAACGTTAGGGATAAGGTTCAGGAGAAGACTGAGAGACGGCTTCCTATTGCACAACTTGGACTCATATTAGCGTGGGCCAGCTACTTATATGCTTTGTAACTATAATCAGAATTTAGTTATCCAATGTTTAAACCCTCAATCTGTTGTAGTCCGGCCGATTAGGATACTCGGCTCTCACCCAAGAGACTTTGATTCTCGGCAATGGAAAGTTTTTGTTTGCTGCATTTCACACTTTCAACTACCAATAGGGATGGTTACAGGACAGGACAAAATTGAGACGACCTCAACCCGTGTCTCGTGTATTTCACACTTTTACCTACTAATAGGGATGCTCACGGGATAGGACGGAATCGGGACGACCCTGTCTCATATCTTGTCTTTTTCCAAAGCTGTTCAGGTTCTAATCAAGATGGGATAGGACTGAGATGTCTCGCGAGATTTTTTTAAATTTTTATGTGACTTCTATTTACTTTTTTATGATTAATATTTATTTTTTGTTGTTTTTATAATAGATAAACAAAAATTAATATATGTATATATATATATATGAATGTATGTCCTAGGACAGAACAAGGCCGTGCCGCGTCCTGTCCTATCCTAGCTTCCATCTTGTCTCGTCTCGGTATGAATAGCCTTAGCTACAAACATGAACCAGGGGCATTATAGTCTTTTCGTGTGATTCACGGCACTGCGCCGTCTCACTTTTGATTTCAACCTTCCCTCTGTTCATCTGTGTTTTTCTCTGCATCACCGTAGTAATGGTACACTTCTCTTGTAAATCGAGTGATTTGTGAATATGGTTATGTGAATGTTTATGTAGGCTTTGGAAAAGAAGTGTTCGAACCCAACAAAGGAAATCAAATTCCAGAAACTCGCCCTCAACATCTCTGCTGGTGAAAGTAGTGAACTTCTCAGTAGTGTTAGTTGCTAAGATTGGCTCTGTACCCACTTCCTATTTCTGGTTGGGTTCAGATGAATATTGGGTTTCTAGAAATCATAATGCTTCTACGAGTTCATGTCTCTTCTAGTTCCTACGACAAATGAAGCAATCCAGAAGCAAGTTATTGTACAATGGTACAAGATTACTGCTATTATATATTCACTATGTAATATCCATTTCCCTGTTTATTTTTCAATTCAGTCCTCATCTCATGCACAAGGTGTTTCTCAATTCTGATTATTTCTCACTTTGGTTTCTTTAAATAAATCTATTTATCATCGAATATCTGTTTTTGTCTATCAATTTCAGATGTACACATTATGTGATGGACCATTATTTATATTTCTATTTGGGAGGGACTTGATTGAAAAATATCTATATCTTAAAAATCTAATTAAGACAATGTTGCCAATGATGAAATTGAGAAATATACGCCTCATTTATTCTGTAATCACTCATTTTTTTTAAATATTATGGTGCTGAAGCAACTAATTGGACGAACCCAGTATTCTCGAAACGTAAGCTTACCAAGATCCTTATGATCGATCTAGTTTAGTTTGGCATTAAACTATTTTGTTTATGCATTACAGTGAGATCATTTGGAATCAGGCGTAATGAAAAGATTTCTTGCCATGTCACCTTTAGGGGTGATAAGCGATGCAACTTCTAGAGAGTGGGTTGATGGTGAAGGAGCATGAATTACTGTGAAAAAACTTCAGTGAAACTGGATTTTTCGGGTTTGGTCTTCAGTGTAAGACAGATTCGTATAAACGAGTAATTGATCCGGATGATAACAGTATGAACCCCCTTATAAGAATACAGTAGAAAACTTCATAAATACTTCTAGCCATAACTTTGACTAAGTTATCTTGGGATCTAAGATAAGAGATAACAACTGCAAAATAGAACAAGAGTCAAGAGAAAGTAATTGTTCAAGTCTCTTCTTCTAACTGGCAAAAGGCACAGTGATGGCAATTGATATTAGCTATTACCAGTCAAAGAACCACAAATGAGTAAATAGGGTTTTTTTTCTTACTGAATGTTTTCAATTGTCATAAACGTAATTGTGTTTCTCACTATTAGAGAAATTAGAATTTATAGACTAAAATTAATTACCCTATAACCACAGGCTATAGTCGAGATATTTTATTAATTTCCTAATTAAGTATCTACAAAATAATAATAATAACAATAATAATAATAATAATAATAAATATCTCACATATTGATCGTGGAATCAAGTACGTTATAATTATCTGGGTCTAAGTATCAAATCATGAATTTTGAAAAATGTGTCCTATGTTATGATTGGGAAACGGGAGGATTACAATAAGGTCCTACGTAAGAAAAACAATTAAAAAAACAAGTCCCAAAAGTTGTCATTCTTACTATAGAACTTGTTATTATAGGCCGTTAAAGTTGTTATTAGGACTTTTTGGTAATTATTTCTTTTTTATGGGACTTGATTGTAATTTCTTTTTGAGAAACTAACTTCACTTTAATCGTATATCTCCACGCCATCAGGCGAAATGATGGAGCAATTTTGATGTCTTGTGTATTGCATCGTTACTTTATCAGGAAAATCGATATTTGTTTCTGGTCTTTGATTGGTTTATATATTTTGCTACCTTTTTTTTCCCCCCGATTTTGTGATGCATTTGTTTTGGCAGGGACCATCGATAAATATGTTACTATTGTTTGATTGACAATGTTTGTTAGCAGCATTTATGTCTGTAAAGTTTGACATTGCATGGGCCTAATCAGTTGGCTGACCTTTGTCCTATCTTGAGGTATATATGATCCTTCAATTGGGATCCATGGGATGGATTTCTTCGCTGTCCTAGAACGTCCTGAATTTCATGCTGTTCTTTGTTGTTCCCCGTCGTTGTACATAGGATTACCATTTTTCTTCTCTTTTGCATGATAAAATCGATATCTGTGTCTCTTCCTATATAAGGGAGAGTTTGGTAACCCCAAAATCATTTTGAAGAAAAAAAAAATCATATAAATGGAAACAAAATTGATCTCATATACTTACTTTATACATCATAAAATAATGTTTAAACTTTAAAAACTTAATCCAAACCCTCTTAAATCATGTTTATGCATCGGTTATTCAATAATTGTAAAATGAATAATAATTAAATAAGCAAAATAAAAACCCAACATTAATATTTCTCTTCTTTTGATATTCACGTAACTGAAAAATACTATAGTTTGGAACGCTCTCCACTCTCTTGACTATCTTCGCCAAATTAAAGTTGAATTATCCATATTTAAGAAGAACATCATTGCAATTGTCTTCAAAATACCATAATTATTATTACTCTTATCTTTAATATAAAAGTTAGTTTGACTTTCAATTTGATCCTAAATATAAAACTTCAATATAATTTGTTTCTCATATTTTTTTTCCTAAAGTAATCCTTATAGTAATTATACATGTTAAAAGTTTCATCTAAAGTTAACACTAAATTAGTAAGGACATTTTAAGAAAGACAATACTTATTTATTATAAATAATTAACTTAACAAAGCTTCTTAATCTACGTACTCAAATTAGTCAACTAATTCTTATATTAAAAATTGAAGGTAGGAGTATACATGTTGAATGCTGATTATTAGTCAAAGAAAGAAGTAGTCGCTGTGCCTATGTGTGTAAGCCTAACAAATATTAAAATATATTACGTCTGGTTCTTAGTATAAGAGTTAGATAACTAATTTAAGTACATTAAGAAAATTAGTTATATTAGTCATTTGTGATAAATAAATATTGTTTTTTCAAAAATATCCTTGCTAATCAAATGTATTTGCTATAATTATCATTATTACATAAAATACCTTAAAAAAAAGATAAATATGAAAGAAAAAGTGGATTGAGGTCTTATATTTAATATCAAAATAAAAATAAAACAAGTTTTTATATTAAGTCTTAGAATTAGTACTTCCCATTCATTTTGAGATTCTGGTTAAACTACTCAAATGAGAATTACTTTCTACGGCACATACCTTAAGTCTCACGAATCAGAAAGATCAAAGGGCCAACGGTGGCTCTCAAAATATTTTAAATTATTGGGATGACTTGGATTTGTATATGTTGAATGCCGATTAGTCAGAAAACTAAGTTATTGCTATGCGTATAAATCTAAAATAAAGATTACCTTTTTTAATAAATTAAAATAAAGATTGCCACGTACGCTTAACTACTATTCTTTTGAACTCAAATTTCACAACTGGTGTAAGGGGGAAGAGGATACAACTGGACGGGCAGTCCTGGACTACCTTATTTTAAACATCATAATGGGAAGCAACTTTCTTGTACGGTTTGTGTTTCTGGAAGATTAATATTTTAGTCTTTGTATTTTACCTCGATTTTTAATTTGGTCCCCATACTTTTATTTTGTAGCCACAAATGCAATAATACTTCCATTCATCTCTAGGAAGTTACCGACTCTGGTCTTCTCTGTTTTCGCATTCAGAGACAGAGCATTTTGATTACTAAGAATTCATCTAAGTAAGTGAAAAGTTGTTATATATATATATGTGTGTGTGTGTATATGTATGTACATGTATGTTTCTCCTTGCTCTCTCTTGTAGAGGATTCACAGGGAGTAATTGGAGGAGAGGGCAGCGTGTCATGCTTCACACTGCATCAGATTCTAACGCTATTACAGAAAAAACTTTGAGGGAAAATGACAATTATACCAATTCTATTATTTAACACTATAACAAAAAAAAATTATAATTACAGCTTTCATTATTTAACACTCGTACTTCGTCAAGAATTTACACAGACACAAACACACATGCACCCCACTTCCATTTTTTAACAAAAGGACTTGATGTTCATACATTACTTAATTTTACAAACAAGGCCATATCCCTTCATAAAGATTATTAAGGGATAAAAATTTTGTTAATTTGGTCCTTGAACATAATTTCCTCTGTACGTAGCCAGCAAAACATGTCAACCTTTAGCATATAGTGGCATCAATACTTCATCTATGATTAACAAATTAGTTTTGGCAAATGGGAAATTTAATATAAACCCAAAATAATAATAAGAATACAAGTATACATACTGGACGCACCTTAGACAATTATTTAATAGAAACCACACAGTTGTTGAATAAAAACTTCATAATCAAACAAGCCGCGCTTTAAGGGGAGATTTTTTTTACCAGGTCTAAGCCTTTGATCACCCAATTTATTGGCAGGAAACTGGGATATTGTTTATGACAGAAAAAAAGTCTCACTTATTATCAAATATAATTGAACATATATAACTGCTAAAACATATCATTTGCGAATTCAACAAAAGCATCATTGCACAAACATCAGTCCACATTCTTCATCAAATGTCGACATCACTACCAACTCCGTATGCGTGCATTAATCAAGCAAGGAAAGTAAAAAGGCAAGTTTATGTACAGACAAATGTAGCAAAAAGATACAAATAATTGGGTTAAATAGTGAAAAAAAATTTTTGGTGATAGAAAAGCACAGACAAACGTAGCAAAAAGATACAAATAATTGAAAAAAAAAGCCAGTTTTTTTATGCTCTCTCCCTTCCTATATGAGGCTTTTATTGATTTCATAATAACTACTAGAGAAAAACATAGACAATAAGTAGAAAAAAAAATCATGAAACTAACCAACCAGAAAATGATAACACAGATAATGGACTCAACCTTCCATATATTAACACTATCCTGCAATACCAAATCACAGTATTGGTTAGCCTAAAGAAATGTAATTTTGAAGAAAGACGACATTGCCATAAGCACAATATAATCAATTATCTATTTCCTTAATAACTAAATAAACATTTTTTGAAACAATATTCGTTAGTGTGGATATACCATACCTTCTCTAAGGATAGCATTTCTACCGTTTTGTTAATATCTCCTTTATCCTTTCATTCCATCTCATGCTCTTCTATTTTCAATTTAGACAATTTTGTTGTTTCCAACACTTATAGACAAAGCTTCATTTCAGGACATCTAATTATTTGTATCACTTTTAATTATGGAAATTCAAAGGTGCAACTTTGTGAATAAAGCATCTTCGAGCTTGCCGTATCAATAAGTTCGATTCTCTGTAGTTGGCTGATTGTGATTCCACTTTCTAAATCTTTACCAGTCTCATTCATAACAATTTCTTCCATGTTTTTGCAATCATTTATCTTCAAAAATATAAGACTCACCAAACTTTTAACAGTCGAACTTGTCACTAAATGGATGAGCCAAATCACATATGGATATGAGCAACATTCTCAATTTTTGAAATGAAGCAGAAGATGGTGCCAAGTTGACCAAATTACAACAACTTTTGACTTCAATGTATGTCAGATTTTGATGAATTGGTGGTAGTTGAGAATCATCTTTCCATATGCTCTTGAGACGGTCCAAATAGGCAATGCATGATTCCTAAAATGATGGGATTTTTACCCTAAAATCAAGAATATGGTCATGTGAGGGAAATATCTCCTCAAACGGACCATGTTTCACATAAAGCTTTTTCAGCTTCGGAAATCTGCATTGAGAATTACAAGGAAAGGTTATTCTTTGATTATGAAAGCCTTCTACATAAAGAGTTCTCACTTTTGGAAAAATATTCCTTATCATTGTGATAATCTCCACATATAAAGCGATGCTTTTGCTTGCAAAAATTACCTATAAGATTATAATTAATAAAACAATTACCATAATGAGTAGATGACTTAGTAAATTACATCAAGAATATCAATGTTAAAAAAATTGGACCAGACCGGACCGGTTTAGATAGGAAACTGGTGAATTGGCTAGTTGTCTTGTTTGATTCACCTCCTCAACTGGAAAAAAAATCAACCCA